TGTAGTACACGTGGATTAATCTCACGTGAAGCATTCCACGATCATCTATATCAACATCCATTCATCTATCCATCCATCCATCCATCATCATGATCATGAACATCATAACATATAACAGTGTGGAGTAATTTTACGTGAGCATTCGACGATCATCTATATCAACATCCATCCATTCATCGCCATCACCATGATAGCACACGCCCACTCTCTCTCGCACACATGTAACTGTGTGTTCTCCCATCACTGCTTTTGTTTTGTTCCATTCCTCTGCAACCAAACCTATCTATCTATTTCTTTATATTGTATCTTGTTCCTCCTCTTCAAGGTATCCATAATCATCCTTCATAGCTCATCATTCTTCAATCTCTGTTTGCTCAATCCAATTCTTTTTCTTATTCCACTGGGTAGGATGAACAAGAGGCCTATAACCGCCGTCTACAAGGCCATTCCTGATCTCTGTCATCGAGAACTCGGCCATCTACCGCCCAGAAATTTCGCTCATCGACTTGGCGCCTCCGAGGTTCCACAACCCTCTCTTCTCTTAACCCTCAATTTCCATTCTTTTTGCCTTTTTCTTTATGTTTTCAATTTTTCATCCGTTCTAGTCAGTGCTTTACCATCTGTTTGCTTCCATGGAATATTTTATATTGAGGATGAGAATGTGGGTCCCTTTGTTCCCTTTTTTGTAGAGGGTGTTTTTGTTTTGGGTATCCGATCAAGATGGTTGCTTGCTTTTTTAGATGATAATAATTTGGCTTCTTTGTAGGCGTGTGAATCTGAATGTGCTTCTATCCAGAAGCTCAAAGCTCTACCCTGGTCATTAATTAATGTGCTGTTGTGTGTTTTGTAGGATCTTGTCCTTCGACTTGATGTGCTCAGGAAACTGCAGAAGCACAGAGGTTGTGTCAACACTGTCAGCTTCAATACTGATGGGGACATTCTGGTGTCCGGTTCTGATGATTTTAGGGTTATTCTCTGGGACTGGGAAACTGGCCGTATCAAGCTCTCTTTACATTCCGGTCACAATAACAATGTTTTCCAGGCCAAGATCATGCCTCACTCTGAGGATCGAAGCATTGTCACCTGTGCAGCTGATGGACAGGTATCTGCTTTCTGTCAATTCTTCCAGTTTGTGATAAGGTTTGGTCTGTGTGTGTCAACATACCTTGCATATTTTCCTTTTATATCCGTGGGGTGATCATCTCTATTCCAATTTTTTGTTTTAACTAACAATGCCATAATTTATAAGAAACGGTACATATTTTATCTTTGGGATGCCAAAAGTGTAATATGGTTTCTGGTGGTATGGGTAACTGCTTCTACGGTATTAATTTTACTGTTTTATTACGATATGAATATGCAGGAATCTTGTCATATTGTTTTACTAAGATAGGGGTGTTTTCCTTGCGACCTCTCAATTATAGGTTAGACATGCTAAAATTCTTGAAAATGGAGGAGTGGAAACTAAGTTTCTGGCCAAGCATCAAGGAAGGGCTCATAAATTGGCTATTGAACCCGGTAGCCCTCATATATTTTATACATGTGGTGAAGATGGATTAGTACAGCATGTGAGTTATTGATTCTTTCCCACTTTTAATTTTTTATTGTTTATTCTTTAGTAATCGCACTATGTATTTTGACAGTTTGATCTGAGAACTGGGGTCGCAACAGAACTTTTTACATGCCAGCCAATCCAGGATAGATGGAACTATATGCCAGTCATCCATCTTAATGCTATTGCAATTGATCCAAGGAACCCAAATCTCTTTGCCGTTGCTGGGACTGATGAATATACTAGACTCTATGATATTCGCAAGTATAAATGGGATGGATCTACAGATTTTGGTCAACCAACCGACTTCTTTTGTCCTCCTCACTTGATTGGTGAAGAGCGGGTTGGAATAACAGGCTTGGCATTTTCTGAACAAAGAGAGCTGCTTGTGTCATACAATGACGAGTTTATTTACCTTTTTACCCAAGATATGGGTTTGGGACCCGACCATGAACCTGGGTTTCCTAAATCTATGAACTGTGATGCAGGTGAACTTGGATTTAGTCATGGATCTGTGTGGTCTCAATCCAACATGGATGGCGATGAAAAAATCACCCCACAAGTATTTAAGGGACACAGGAATTGTGACACAGTTAAGGGTGTCAACTTTTTTGGACCCAACTGTGAGTATGTGGTGAGTGGGTCGGACTGTGGTCGTATTTTTGTATGGAAAAAGAAGAGTGGTCAGCTTATTCGTGTCATGGAAGCAGATAAGCATGTTGTGAATTGCATTGAGTCCCATCCTCATACAATGGTTCTTGCAAGCAGTGGTATTGAGCATGACATCAAGATATGGACTCCAAAGGCCCTTGAGAAAGCTACTCTGCCCAAAATTATTCAACAGGTATAAATTTGGTCTTAAGAAGTAAATTATTGCAACTCAGAACTTAGGTCAGGATGATATTATTATATGTGGACTGATGCCTTTGATGGGCAGGAAGTCATAGTTGTGTGGGCAATAAATCTCTGGATGGGAAGGCATGAGAAAATATGATATATATATATATATAATGATATATATATAGTATATATGATCATAAGTGACTTAATATATTATCATAAATTCCAAGTAATAGTGTGAAGGATCATCCAAAGCTTTTCTGCCCCTTGGATGTTCCTCAATCTCAGTTGGTTCGAGAGCCAAAATGGTCTGATGTACTGTTACCCTAGGCATAACTTAGAAAAGTTTTAGACGTCCCATCCACCCATCACTATTAATGATGGATCCTTTGAGTTATATCAGACTTTATTTTTTTGGATCATGCTTTCAGATTGTATGAATAACAATTCGATTTTAGAATAGATGTGATTCTAAAATGCAGCAAGCAGATTTTAGCATTCTTGATTCACAAAAAAATGCATACTTTGACTGCTTTGAACCAATTAATTATGCATTAATTTAAGTTGGATCATGCAAGACCTGTTAGGAATCCATGTTAGAAAACATAAGAAAGATGACATTTCTTGTTACTCCCAAGTACTTGGGGAACTTATCTCGTCGAGGAAGAACAAAACATTGCCTACTTTACCGAGCATTCCACATTACTCCAAGTGAAGCTTAAGATACTCCATAATACTGAATTCCGTGTCAACACTGCCCTTGAGAGATGATGTCTAACAAGTCCCCATGTAAGACATTTCCTGCTGCAGAATGAGATTCTTTGATACATACGAAATCACCTTCTGTTCCTCCATTTTCTGCAGCAAATCTTCATCCTCTTCCACTTCTTAGCTTCAAGTTTTTTGAGTCTCTATTTTTGACACCCATCCTTCACTTTCTTGACCTCAACAATGGTGTGTTCAATGGTGTGTTCAATTCTCCCATTGGCACAAACCTTAGGCTTCAAATCACTGTCTTTCCATGACTTTGTTGCATTGCTGCAAAGTCAATACTGCTTGTGTCACTGTATAATTGTGACCCTTAATAATACTTGGTTTATGCCCTTTTTTTAAATTTTATTCCTAGTTTTACGTAAGATTGGTGATTAGAAAAATTCTTGTTCAACGTGCATTGGGCCTCCCAAGCTGTGTTAAAGTTTGTTTAGAAATTGCTTTAATGTTATTGGAAATTGTAACCATTCTTGAGCATTTATTACAGCCAATTGGCCATGAAATTGGGCTTATCACTCATTCAGTAAAATTCATCTTCTCTGATTATTCTCTGCACAAAATTATTCTGCTTTGTCAACGGAAACCATATAACATTGTGGAATCTTGTTCTGAGCTTGGATTGATTCTCAGGTTACCCTGAATATCGAAACAGTCCCTGCTTGTGTGATCCTTTTTCAAACTCAAACCCATTCCTTCATTCTTCATGAACATCTGCAACATCTCTGAATCTATTTGATTCCCTTTAATGTGATGTTAGTTTACTTATTTTTTGGATTTATGCTAAACTCCATCATGATCTCTACTTGCTTCTGGTTTTGTTTCTTGTGTTTTCATCAATCGATTAAACTTTTTCTATTTACCCTAGATATCTCGTTTTGCCCTTCTGTCAAGATCTTGTGGAATTGTCAATACTTCTCCCAAAAATTGGATTTGGGGTTAGTTAATCCAATTGAATCCATATGGTAAGTTGGACCAATTTGTTTCGAATTCAAATTAAAAAATAGAAGAAACAAAGGTAAGACGATATTTATTGCTTCCAAAAGGACAAAAAATATGAGAGATAATCCTCCTTCAAGGGTTTCCCCTTCACATGCTTTCTCAAAGAGTAAAGCTCAATTATCAAGTGACACAAGATAGAATGCCTCTTTGCTTGCATCCTACTCCTATTTATAGAACTGAAATGAACTTGGCGAATGAGGCATCAGTGCTGAAGGTTTAAAACGGAGAATCACACTGTCATTTTAGGTTCATTATGTATGGGAACATTTCAAGTTTCCTGTGTTTTTCAGTGGAGTTAGGACCAGCTTTTAAAACAAGATTTTCAAAAATTACAGATTACCGCTGAGGGGTAAATGCGCCTGATCGGGCACTTTGCCAGATTTGGTTTTCTGATTTTGCGTGTTGGAATGTGGCACTGGTGGCGCTGAGGGGAAATTCTGGCCCTTAGCGGTGGTTTAGCTTCGAAAGGAGTTATGTTCTGTGTTTTACTAATGATTAACATCATGTTTTATGGTTTTGTATTTGTGTTTGAATGTAGGAATGACATCCTCTTCAGGAAAAAGATTGAAAACCATGGCAACCAAGAGAAAGGAAAAAGGAACAGAGCAACCACGTAGGAGGTTCCTTTAGAAACATGAGAAGCACTTTAGTGGTCAGGACAGGATACTTCTGATGGAGAGAAAGGAGAGAAAGGTTGAAAATGATACCTAACTTTGCTCCTCAATTTGGAGAGCAAGTGTTAGGGAATGACTAGGGAAAGCTAGCCACCTATCCTGCACCTGCCAACATAGATGTGGTAAAGGAATTTTACACCAATGCTAAGAAGATTGGTGATTATCCAGTTGAGAATTATTTGGGCTATGTGAGAGGCTATGCATCAGGTATGATCCTGATTCTATTAATAACTCCTGGACCTGTATGGGCTGGTGAGCAGTGCCAGTTTGCTCTTTGCATGGAGGAAGGTGCTTGATATGAGGATGTGGAGAAGGAGAGTCTGTGTATACCTGGAGGACACTTCCAAAGAATCGATGCTGGCTCAGTGGTTCACATTAGGAGACGGATTTGACTCCTTTTGCAAAAGTATTGGATGGCGTTTTCCATGCCAAAAACATCAGCCATGTTCAAATTGTGTCAGATATACTCTCAGGCAGGGCACTATTCAATCTTCTGTGCTATCAGAAACTTAAAGGTTAATATTGGGCAGGTGATTAGCTGAATGTGAGATTAGTGTGTGCCCAATACATCCACAAACAACAAAGCCCCCCCCCCCCCCCCCACACTAGGACATTCCCTCCTGATTACTCACCTTGCAAGATAGCTGGGGTGGACACTCTGCTCCACCATTGAGAGGCCAAGAAAAGCTATTGATGAGGCTTATTACCGACAGTACTGTGGAGGTGAGGAAGCAGCTCAGCCAGTTCCACCACATCGTGCTCGTAGAGAGAGAGGGCCAGCACAGAGCCAGACATCTGCGGAGACACATGAAGCAGAACCATTCCAGATGAGGGACATGTATTATGTCTCTTATAGGGCTCAGTGCAGTCCCTTCAAAGAGGGCAGGTGGCCCACTACTGGAGATGATTGTGGATGTATGATACACCCCCATGCCCAAGGTGGGACTATGGGGGAATTCCATAATGTGGTAGCTTGGCCAGAGGAACCAGGGCATGAAGGAGGAGCTGGAGCGTGGAGCTGGCAAGTGAAGCTTCAGCTAGAGGATGGAGAAGATGAAGCTGATGATGATGATGCATTTGAAGATGATGATGAAGATGAGGAAGAAGAAGAAATACAGGGAGGACAGCTCAGACTGATGAGGAGTTGGAGATGCAGTTACTGATAAAGGCTATCATATGATTATGCTTTTGTGGTTTAGTTTTTTGAACTTATTTGTTTTTGTTTTTAGATTAGGGTTGATGTTACTCGATTGAACACCTGGTTTGTTATGATGGTTTGCTATTAACTGTGATGTGTGATAAGTAATGTTGAATGATGCGTATGATTGATGATGTTGAGATGATGTGCACATTAAAATGCTTATTAGGGATTCACAAATTTGTGAAACAAATGCAGGATATTAGGATTGTGATGTGGAATTAAGAAGGATGGTAGTGAAAGTGAATGAGCTTATAGGTGAGGTTTTTGAGTCAGAGTTGTTATTGTTAAATGTCTATTACTTTGAAAAGCTGAATGATTTTGCCATGGTTTTATGATTGAAATCAATGCTTGTTTGCATTTCATATGATCAAGTCGTTTATTGGAACCCTTTTTATTGGCCAATTTCATTAAAAAGTTAGCCCACTAAAAGAGACACTTTGTGTTCTATCCTTTGAACCCTTAGCCTAATAAATTTGAAAAACCTTGATTGAAAATCTTTACCTTGAGGTAAGTAGAAGAGCTTGTGTGGTATATGTTTAAATGTTCAAGTTTGCGGTTGTTATTGGAAAAGCCTGAGCCTAAGAGCTAGAACGTAAAGAATATGCAAAGAAAAAGGAAAAGAAAAGAAAAAGAAGGGGGGGCAAAGCTCAATGCAAATGCAAAGGTAAGGTGGGAAGAATAAGAAGAATAAGAAAAAATTGTGTGTTATGATTCTTTAACTCAAGGATTTTGTGATCCAGAAAAAACCAATTTTTTCTGGTTAGCCCAGACCACATTATAAGCCATTGAAAAGTCCTTGTGATCATTGCATGCTTGTAAATGTTTTGATTATTCATTTTTAACTCTCCTCCCTCGGTTTTAAAATGAAAGGCAAAGTTGAGTCATGTGACATTTGTGATAGTAGAGTGAATGAGTGATTACCTTTATACACTTGTGTGTGAGGAAACACTTTACCTAGTGAAGAAAATATTCCATTAGCACATGAAATCCCAGGCTTATTGATTGGTCATTCATGAAAAAGAGCATTTGTTGGGTTTAACTGACTTGGGAAAACACTAACGCATGTGCACATCTTGATTGATTTGGTCATAAGTTTGAATTTGAAGTTGTTACTTATCTGAAAAGAGGATTTTGAATGAGTGAACCATCATATGAATTGGTTGGAGAGGAGTTTACATCTGGTTTGCTTGAGGGAAAAAGCAAAGTACTAGTTTTTGGGGGGGTTTGGATTAACAGTTGGAAAAACTGTTATTGTCATGCCCATTAAATTGAACTAAAAGCACCTTTATACTTAGAAACTAGCTTGAAAGTATACTTTATTCTCTTTTAGAAATAAGAGAGCTGGGACAGGTTTTTATGTTGATTTCAGTGTTGTTGTGCAGGTTTTGGGTTTTTAAGGGAAATTTTGGTGAAAAGAAGTGAAGAAGGAGAGAGATGGAAAACAGAAAAGACATCAAAAAGTGCAAAAGGAGACGCCTTTTTTTTGAAGTCAACGCTCAGCGCAGTTTA